AAATTTAAGACCATTCCTTTCGAGAATACCTAGTTCTTCTCCATTATGTGTAGCCCTGTAGCCTTCGTGATTATCTATCTTGAACTTTTTGTACTCGCTCCTATCATACCATAGAAAGGACGTGAAGATAGCCATGCAAGTATATCGTTGACACTGAACATATGGTTGTGTTGCATTTCGTATTGGAGAAGTGCAATCCCCTTCCGTAAGATGAATCAACATAGTTGGTTCAGCCATTCAGCTGCTGCCTTCACAGAACTGACTGCTTCCTTTTCGAATCCAGTAATATTTCCAACCAGCAAAATATCATGACTCGCAATTTCCTCACTGTGAAAAGCAATCTCATTACCTTCTATGCCCTTCATTCCGTCTGAGAAGTCCTTGACTTGTTCAAGCAAAACCTCTTGCCCATTGCCTTGGATCCACATTGGTGTCTTTGTGTAGAATGGATGTTTTGCAGGACTGATCCATTCAGAGTCCATGCTGACTGGACCATCTTTGGGACAATAGGAATTGGCTCCCCAGATCGCGAAATTGGCAGGAATGTAATCTGTAAATCTGTGCGGAGATTCATACAACACTTCTGGAGTAAGAGTCCTTGCAAGATCAATCCAGGGAGACCACAAAAGTGCCGCTGCAGGACCAGGTGCATCTGTAACAGCAAGATATCTCAACAATGCCGCAACGATATTGCCACCTGCCGAATCTCCACCGACGATAATGTTGGAGTATTCAATCCCTAGATCTCGGAGATAGTGGAGAGCTGTGACAGCGTCTTGAAGCGCGGCAGGAAAGCGACCGTCAGGGTTCGAAGAAAGTCGATAAGAAACCATCAACGTCTTTCCGATATGTTGAGTCAGAAGATCGGCCGCATACCCAGATTTTTTAGGCCGACAGTCACCAGTGACAAAAGCTCCACCATGAAAATGAAGTACAACCTTCTTGGTTTTATCCTCATCGGCGTTGTAAGGCGAGGGATACCAATAGCCACAAATCGTTGCGGGTTTTATTTCCTTGTCGTCACAGATTCCCTTGTAAACTCCTGGTATGGAAGATGGCTTGATTGGAACAAGAAACCCTTCTTCTTTACCCTCTGCCTTTATAACCAAAGGCGTGGAGACCTGTACCATAGATGAATGCCAAACAGCAGTTTTCAGTGCGACAGCGGCTACGGCTTGCTTGAAGCTCCATTTTGGATGCTGTCGATTCGATGAGAATGAATAATAAAAGAGCCAGAGGGGCAACTTGACAGCGTTCAATATGATGGCACCTAGAGCCCAGATTCCCTTAAATGGATGACGTGTGATCAAGTCGGAGGCCATAGCTTGCTTTAAGGTTACAAGAGATGGATTCAAATACAACTTTCCGACAAGAGAAAAGGGAAGTCGGTTTGGTTTATTCTTTTGACAGGAACTTCGATCACGTAATGCCTTGGGGTTGCTAATTTTTGGCTAGCTGTTGGTTTGTGTATCCATGGATGTGTTGGTGAGTATAAACAACAGTCGGATGTTCGGTTAAGGTTACATGATCAAATTGACTACATATTGAACTAGTGAACGGACTTTCATTGGCAGTGCAGTGAGACTTGATCTGACTAGAAGTAAATCATCTATTTAGCTCAACAAGTGCAAACAAATTTCTGAACAATGATTCCCTTCGTGTGAAATAAAGGGTTATCCTGCACAGGTATCTCTGTATCCATAAACCATTTCTCCATTAGTAAGTTGAGCTGGTGCTCAGGTTCCTATACTTCTTCTAGTCATTTCACAAAGTCACATTCATGGCTTGTAATATATCAATCCAGAGGTTCAATATAGCTTCAAAAGATACATGTGTCATTTCCACCTAGGAATATCCACAGAACACAATCATCAAGTAATTTCTACTTCTTGAGTCCTCCCCTTTGGAGATATGAGATAACTCGTTTCTCAATCCAAGAGAGTACACATCATTAACCTAGTATTATCTCATTTTAAAGTCCTCTGCCTATTACCCTTCCTCTTCCTCGTCTTCCTCGTCTTCCCCTCTCTCCTCCGCTATCCTCTCCCCCCTAAGGTCTACAAACAACCTCACTCCCACTTCCAAATATCCTCCCTACTCAGCCTATCTGAAACTTCACTATTCCCTGTTCTCCGCAAACAAAATTCCAATCCCATCTCCCATCTCCCATCCTCAATCCAACGACTCACACTCATCTCCATAAGCCCCTATCCACAATCACCACCCAATGCACCGGCTCAAAAGCATATGTCATACCCCGTAGCCTATGCACCAGCCCGCAAGTACACGTCACTCGCACACCAAAAGTAAATAACTGAGAGCAAATCGAAATGAATTCCTAGGCTCTCAAGTATGGTTACCTAGGTACCTACTCGTAATACTCAAACCTATCTCATAACTCTTCCTACCACTCTAAGCTCCATAGTAGATTCACAAGAATCCTCGTCAATAATCCTATTGATCACTAGTCATGTCTAAGCCTGACGTGCAAAGTATCGAGAAGAAGATCCAAGATCCAAGATCAAAGTGAACAAATAAAACATCCTTCTCGCCTAGGTGAATGTAAGCACAGAAAACTTGTTCCAAGCATGTAAATACCCGTCGAATTTCTCCCACGTTGCTAGAATACTCCACTTACACCCCGATTCCATACTTCCACACTTCATCTGCACAGCTGAATACAGCACACCAGTCACATATCATCAATCACATTATCTCAAAATAGGGATTCATAACTGATTTAATTGACTCCCAACACCCGATGTAAAGCGCTTAGCTTAGCTCAACCTGGTTCAGCAACGCGAGCAAATCTTGAAAATAAAAATTAATCATGAAAATGTAAGAAGAGTGAATCAATGTTCGGGAATATTCCCCATAAATTCATTTATCCGTGATATCGACACTTTGCCCCCCCCAAAGAAAAGTTTAAAAAGCAAGAAAATCCCCAAAAATCTAGCTTAACAATTGTTCAATGGCTCCCTGGACACTTCCTCCACTTCTTCTTAGAGCTGCAACATTTCTGTCAAAGTCGAAGAATCCCATATCATTTAACTGCCTGAGCTGATCGGCGTACACTTCTTCAGGTGGTCTGGTATCTGCTGGAGCTGCAGGTGCACTTGGGGCCGCAGCACCCATTCCGCCCATACCGCCAAATCCACCAGCGCCAAACATATCTCTGAATGTTCCATTTTGCATCATTTGCATTGCTTCTTGGAATTGTTCCGGTGTGAGTTGTGGCATTCCTTGATAGGGGTTAAACCCCGCTCCAGCTGCTCCGGCTCCGGCTCCGGCTCCAGCACCCGCTCCCTCAAACAGCGAGGCAAAGGGATTCGGCGGATTAGCATCAGTTCCAGTTGATGGGGTTCCCCCGGCAGAAGCGGGAGGTGGGGGAGTTTGTGCTGGAGTATGACCCGCGGCTGCTGCTCCTGGTCCACCGAACAATGATGCGAATGGATTATTAGCACCTCCTGCAGCAGGCATTCCAAACATATTGAAAGGTGGTACGCTGGGTTGACCACTTCCGGGTGTGCTCCCTGCTGCACCAGCGGGTGTAGTGTCAGTGACGCCTGGCGCAGGAAAGCCGCCAGCCCCTCCACCTCCCATTTGTCTTCTCATCGCAGCAGCTTGTCGAATGGAGTTCGGATCCGTAAGCATGTTTCTGAACATAGGTGATTGTAATATCTCGCGCGCGTTGGGCATATCTCTGAGCATTGGAGTATTTTGGATCATCATATTGACAAGGTCCGGGTTGTTAAGAGCTTCGTTCATCGTTTGACGAACATTGGGATCATCCATCATTTGAGCGAGCGCATCTTCACTTGGTGGCGCACCCATCTGCGAAAATGTTAGTATAGAAAGATTGCTCTCAGAAATGGGCATACGTACACCACCGTCTGCGCCGAACATTTCAGCACCTGGAAGACCCATGTGGCCTGCATATCGAGCACCTGTCAAACCAGCAAGAGGATTATTCGCGGTTCCGGCAGCCATGTTCGTTGGGAGACTTGCTGCAGCGCCAGTTGCGGCATTGGCAGCAGCATTGGCAACGTTGCTTTGTGCGCTCTTGACCATATGTATCGTATTGTTAGGCTTAATCTTATAAGTGCTCAAAGGTTCCTCATTCTTCATAACGCGACCGGAGTAGATTAATCGTTGACGATCTACTGGAATCTTTTCGTAATCATCTCCAGCTAGCTTTGTCTTTAGGTCGAGAACTGTTGCGGTCTCTGCCATGGTGATTGTGTGATTTCCATCAGAGGATGTCTTGACCTTGAAGGTGATCTGAGAATCGCCCTCGGGCGCAGTTGGTGTCTCGTCTGACATTTTAGTATTTTGGATGGATTTGTGAGTTGACTGATGGAGATTGAATTGGATCTGGATATCCGAAAGAGTCAGGTAGGTATGGTTGGGGGTTGTTTGTTGGATTGATAGTTAAGGTGGTTTGATGTGTGTGTTAGGTAGGTAATCGTAACTATCATAGGCAAATATTAAGTGAGGCGTTGAGGGGTGTGGCTATGGCTCAGATGACGTTCGACGGTTCAAAGATGGCTGTCACTAGGAAATTTCGAGAGGAAGGATAATTGGGAGAACGAGAGGGTGAATGAGGAATAGAGAAATGTGGTAATAAATTAATTTCCCTTAAAAACCGATAGACTCAAATGGTTTCATCTACAATGCAATTCATTATTAATTATTAGCTCTACATCGTATAGAAGTTCGTATATATTCATGGATATCCTCACACGCCTAGGTAGGTAGGTGTGTTGTGTGACTGGTGACTGACTGATGACTGATGACACTATCTTCCATGGAAATCTTTTGGCTTCTGACTACTATCTGGGTATATCAAAGTAACTTCCAGGGCCATAATAAGGCACAGTCATGCAAGGGCCGGCCCAGCGCGAGATCTAAGTACCAGTGTCGAGTAGGTAGAGTTCCGCCTAACCCCTTTCCTTTATCGAGCAGAACACCAGGAAAGTATATCAGATCACGAAGAGAAGCTAAATCAAACAACCACGTATCTATTTATTAGTAATATCTTTCTTCGCAGATTCTGCACAGTGTTGCCTCTGTTTAGACTTTAAACTTAATATCCCGCATTCATCGCCAGTGAGGTCTGCTTCCCGTTGAATTCAACATCTGGACTCTCGGTGATGTGAGCTAGAAACATAGTTTGGCATGAAGCCAAGTGCACCCACCGGCCAGGTAAGATAAGAGATGCTGAGGTCGGAGGTTCACTTATAATATTCATGCAATGGCAGCAGATAGTTGAAATCTGCCTTCTTCAATACTACCGGTACCACCGGGCAGGAAGCAACCTTCTTGATAGACTTTCAACTAGGCCAGGTAAGGTACCGACCGAGCAATTGATCTTTAGTTGGACCTCGGCTCGGTCCCCGCGTTTATAGAATCCGGGGATCCTTCAATTTCATAGCTTACCCACTTCAATACTCCTCTTACTCTTACATACAAGTCACTCCTCTCTCTCCTTCGACCTGTTGTTTTATATTATATTCATTCAATTCGAGAAACAACATATTTCGAACCAACAAAACCATATCTATAACCTCTGAAACAACCTACAAGATGCGTGGAATTCAAATCAAAGAATATGTCAAAGTAAGCTTTCAGAGAGAGCCCCCAAGCTTTCATCTCCTGTCTCCTTCGATATTCATGTATATCTATGTAGTATACTAACCAATTGTTACAACACAGGGACCTCAAGATCTTAAAGTCACGGATTTGCCTGATCCAGTACCAAACCCCGATCAATACTTGATTGAAATTCATGCCACCGCTACCAATTTCTACGACCTGCTCCAAATTCGCGGGAAATATCAACACCAACCTCCTCTACCTTGTAAGACATTTCTTCTATCTGCCCATTGGCACAAGATTTCGAATCCATAACTACTTTTATTCTATCCAATCTCCTATTTCAACCCCCCAACCATTCACTAACCCCCAACCTAGGGATTTCCGGCTCAGAATTCAGCGGCACCATTCTTTCCACACCCTCCTCTTCCTCATCTCCTAAATACAAACCCGGCGACCGCGTCTTTGGCGCCTCTCAAGGTGGCTATGCAACTCTTGTCTGCGCCCAAGAAGCTTCTCTCTACCCCGTCCCCGACTCCTGGTCTTTCTTCGAAGCAGCCGGTCTCTTCGTCACCGCTCCCACATCCTACGGCGCCCTCGTCACACGCGCGAATATAAAATCTGGAGACTATGTCCTGATTCACGCTGCTGCCGGTGGAGTCGGTCTTGCAGCCGTGCAGATTGCAAAGGCATTCGGCGCAACTGTTATAGCTACTGCTGGCACGAAGCGAAAGCTGGAGGTAGCGCGAGAATTTGGCGCCGATCATGTTATTGATTACGGCGATGCTTCTTGGCCCGATCAAGTCAAGAAATTAACACCAAACAACAGAGGTGTAGATATCGTATTCGATCCAGTGGGCCTAATCGACAAATCGACAAAATGCATACGCTGGAACGGACGACTCCTTGTTATCGGATTCGCAGCCGGAAATATCGAGAAAGTGGCGATGAATAAGGTTTTGTTGAAGAATATAAGTATAGTGGGATTACACTGGGGAGCATATGTGCAGAACGAACCGGAAAAGATCCAAGAGGTATGGGAGGGTATTTTTAAATTGATCAAAGAGGGAAAATTTAGAGGAACCGTCTTTAGGGATAAGGAGCTTGTGGGGCTGGAGGATGTTCCAGGAGCATTGGAGAGTTTAGGGGGGAGGGGGACATGGGGAAAGGTTGTTGTGAAGGTTGAGAAGAATGGAAAAGAGGGGAGGAGTAAGATTTAGACGAGGGGAGGGAAGAAGGACAGGTGGTTGGATTATAGATGAACAGGGGAGATATGCTATTAGCGAGGATCTAAGGGACCGTAGTGCACCTTTGTATGTGTGTTATACAAACTGAACTAGACTACATGACCGACTGCATTACTAAAGAGATATGGGATGGGTTATTGGAAGTTGTCTTGATAGAGAAGATACTTCAAATGAATTCCTGGCACATAGATTGAAGAGTTACAGTATCAGCTCACAGAATTTAGAGTATGCAAAACAACTACTCCAAGATTTTTAGGAAAATTGCAACGAGCTCATGTCGGATGACGATTCATACACACATCCTCACATCCCATCATCATTACATCACACGCTGCAAGAGCACCTAACAAATTGTCTGTCATAGATAGTAATATTCTCAATTATTCATTCAAAAGTTCGCTATCTACACCCATCCATCCAGTCATCCATCATATCAATAAGTACCTAGTAGAAACAAATGAATCACATCGTATCCAAAAAATCCGCGCCTGCTCCTAGTTTCCATTCCCAATCATAATATCCCAGAATAATTCGCGAGAATTTTAACATCTCTTCGACTAACATCCACCTATTCTTCCTAACGATCCTCATGGAAACTCTAGAAATGTTCTTTCCAAAACGAGAAATTGACATCGCGAGTCGTCGCATTCTTACATGCTTTTTTGATGGAGCGGGCTGCTACGTTTGGTCCTATTCAGAATGTTAGTATCCATGTTCAAATTAAAAATGTATCGGAAAGCGTATAAGGGGAAAAATGAATCAAAACCACAACAGGACAAAACATACCACAAAAGTAAACTCCAATATTAGTTTTAAAATCTCCCTCCAAGCCAGACATATATGTTTTATCCATGATTCCATCTCTCATTCCCTCGAACAGTTTTGTAAAATCCGGTCTACCGAAATTCGTCCTCGATTTCAATTCAGTCAATGGATCGACATCCGCACCAACACTATTCAATACGATATTTTGCGCCGTATCGATATCCAATTTTTGGGTCAAGTAAGTATGGATACGTAAGAATTCTTGTCCATCATTACCGGGTTGTGATGCTGCTTCTTGAGATTGTGCTTCCAAAGATGAAAGAAGGACTTGGAACCATTCGAAGGATGTAGTATCTTTACAAACCCAGATAAATTCTACTCGACGAAGACGTTCGGGAGGATTTGTTCCGTGACGAAGATGCCAAATATTTTTGAGGATGGATGCCCATGGCGTTACACCGATACCAGTGCCGATGAGGACTGCGACTTCATTCTCGAAGACATCTTCGGCGGGAGCACCGTAGGGACCATCTATGCGGATGTCGGGCATTTTTTGACCGTTTTCGAGGGCAACTTCGTACATACCATTGGGATCCACACCGTCGTAGAGCTTGGCTTGTGCAGCACCAGCTCCGAGGGCGTCTCCGAGGGTTCGAGTGAAGTCACCGACTTGACGGATGTGAATAGAGATGTAGGGGTCGAATGGACATGATGTGATGGTGAATGGATGCCACTGTTCACGGGAAACAGATGGGACGTTGAGGAAAAGCCATTGGCCTGCCTTGTACTTCATTGATGGCTTTCTGAATTGAATTTCCATGGCATCTGTAATTTGTTAGTTTTGAATGACGATGGTAAGGATGTAACATACCATATGGATGACGAACGACTCTAACAATTTGAGTTTCTCTTCTACTTCTGATCTCGCGATACACACGCTCAAGGAAGTAAAGTCCACCACCCCAAAGCTCCCAACGCCATCCTTCATAACCTAAGCAATGTCCCCAGAAGTTCTCGCCATCAAATGGAGAGAATGGGTCTGCGGTATCACGGACGAAACATCCCGTAGCGTGTGTGTACATTCCAAGCAAGAATGGAATAAACAAATGATGCGTGTACCAAAATGTTTCAAAAGATTGTTGTCTAATCTTAGCATGCGCGGTGGTATACATCAGCATCATGCATAGTAACATGATATGACCTGTGATACCGCCAGCTTCGGTATAGTGAATCTGAATTGCAGTCACAGGTCGGATTTGAGTCTTTTCGACGTTGAAGAAACTGCCTGAATGTTAATATTTGAGTAAAGATGGGACTTTGCAGTACTTACTTCACATAGTGAGCAGCTACATGAAATATGGTCCAGAATAATAACGAGTATGCTACTTGTCGATGAAACCATTGAGACTCATCAAGTGGTAAGAATTTGACCTTTGGTCTAATGTATCTCAAGATATTGCGGCACATGGGCAATAAGATCAATGCAACATCTACAGACAACACCAGACCGGCACCTCTCGATATCCATACTGAGAATGTAAGAGAGTTCAAACCCGAGAGTCTAGGGTCACTGGCTTGCTTCCACCTGTACAACTTATTAGCAGGAGATAAAAGATATGTTGAAAGGCGACTCACCATCCAAAAGCAAACAGGCCAATGTGAAAGCCATGGAAGAGGAAATTAAATAGCAACTTGGTTCCCCGAGTCTGCTCCTTTAAAAATTGTACAGCCCCCATCTTCTCTATATCCAAATATCCCAAAAATTAAAGGTCGTCCAGCGACAAGATCGATGAAGAAGGTTGAGTGAACCCGTTGATCTTTTTATGATTGACAAAAGGAACCAAACTTTCCGACCCCACGTACAAATATTAAATAATATATTTTCCAAAAAGAATGTGTAAAAAAAGAACGTTCATGAAAAGAAAAGAATGATCTGAGCCAGCAGCCAAAAGCTTGGAAAGCTTGGGTAGAAAGTTTGGAGAGGGAAGTCTTGTTCTTCTACAACGCCGAGGAAGGAGAAGACAAAAGCTAGGGTTTGTGGGCAAGCCTGGAGTAATAAAGGTTGCTCGTTAGGTCTACCACACTAGTCACTTTGATCCTTTCAATGACGGGAGAGGTATGTTGTGAGAAAGTCTTATTTGGTTCGAAACCAACGCTCGTACAGCCGTTTGTTGCGGGCGCAAATCTAAGAATTCGGATGACAGGTTTTCCTTGAAAGATCCCAGTAAGGCTGTACGATAATATCTGATTTTCCTTTCCAATTTCCTGTTCGATATGAAATTCAAGGAATGATCCCGTTGATAGGTACGAAAATCACCGTATTTCGAGAAATGCCATCCGAGCTTTTTAATCAAGTAGGAGGAGATGGGATGTAACAGTGCGTTTCGCAAGGTACAAGACGGTATCAGATCGGTCCAATATTTTGATAATCGGAAGCAGGCTATGGTTTCGTATGGCAAGAAGGATGGAAAGATATCAATTGAGCTTGTATAGTAAAACTTTTTTGATTGAGTTGAGACGGATGTTGTTGCAAATAACCCCAGAAGCATTAAAGAAGCGATGAATGGTGTTGCAAAAATATCCGATCTTATCTAGACGTTTGAACAGGGGCTCGAGAGGGGAATAGATAGATTTGTCTACCGTCCGTCTTTTCTTCGGAATATCAATTGATCGATCAGGAGAATTCAAAGGATCAAAGGAATCAAATCCGACTCTCAAAAAAGATTGAAATATGAATACCAAGGTAGATGCTGAATTTTTGGATCATGAGTGAATAAATTTCATGAAAGAAATAGAAAATGAGAAATCAAAGTCGAAGTCGAGGTTTTCTATATTGAGAATGGCTACTGTCACCCGTCTCTGGATGACAAGGGTATCGAGCTACCCCAGGCGCTTGACAATCATATTTAATTGGATGAAAGTATTGATAGAAGCAGCACTTATGCACGAGTGCTGGTCGTCTGCATCAATCCACCTGGTACCTCAATCCACAGAAGGTCTCTTTCTGGGTTCTTACCAGAATAGCTCACTTGGATCCACCAACCTAAGATTCCATACATGAGACAGTACAAAGCACCTTCACCGCAGATAGTAGATTTAGTTAGATGTCTCGAGGATGTCAACTGTTGTTGTGTCGAATCTTTTTACCCTTGTTTGAAGATAAGGTGCTATGGGGTAACCATTCTCGGCTGAATTTGTAATTTATATACGGATGGGTGCGCAGGATGGGGGAACTATGGAACTTGATTTTGTGGTGACATCCTTCACATAATGAACCAGTATGTATATGTAAGGCTACATTGGTACGATGTAGTCAGTCGACCTCGTAACCATAGGTCTATACCAGTCAGTCTTTGCCTCAATCATTTTCGCATCGTAATGAAACTTTGTTCAAATAAAGGATTATCGCACGAAGCTGTCATATATGGCTAGGTAGTTGAGCTAAACGTTGGGTCCCGGGCTGGTAGGCATTTAATCGAGTTTGGGTCCATAATTAGGGCTGGACAGAAAAGTGACCATGGCGAAGTCCATATTACAGTCAGAAGTAGTGCGATTTGATATGTGAATGGTATCTGTGTGTTCACAAGTATAAGCAGCCAGGTATTCATACACGGTCATGGAGCGAAAGTGCCATCCGAACTTCGATGTTCGTCCAACTACTTCAGTGTTCTTCGTTTCCCGCCATTTCGCCGTTCCTGCAGGTCCCAAAATGCAAAACCTTATCCTGGGTGATACTGAAGTCACGTGATGGCAGCGGTTTCACAGACGTTTGTAGCAGAATTGTTGGCGAAGGGGCTGACACTTCACCTTAGTTCATTGCCCCGGACTTATCAAGCATGGACTATCAATCCAAATCTGACTAGAAGGCACAGTACAAAGCACCAAACCAAAGCCAGCCATGCTCATATGCCTTATCGGCGCAGTATTCGTGGAAGAAATCATAACAAAAAAAAACGGAATTCTAACAGTCAATTGGCAAAAGTATCGACTCCTATGTAAATTTGTGCCGATAAAAGTAACTGGCAAAACGATTTTGCCAGATTCGAGGTCGGAGAGCCGAAATTCTGTGTCGTTTCACAACTGGTTTGGAAACAGTCTTTCGTCAACAAGTGCACGTCCATCTAGGGGTCGCCGATGAAAGTATGTTCCCTGTGACTTTATTAACCATAACTTAAGAGATGGGGATCTTGCTTCATCGACAAAGGGTGCATACAACGGAGACACGATGTGCCGATAATAAATTTGTATATAGATTTGAATTCGGGACTTGAAGTGGATCAACATCTTCTCTCGTGAATTCCTCAGCATCGGCAAAAGGGCATAAACACACAACATGAGCACAGGCGCATCTTCCAAGCACTAGAAGGCATCAGCGATCTTTGGATTGCCATGTGCGAAAGAGCTGAAAGTTCTAGAATGCCAAACGCGTTGTCGTTGATAGAGCGTAGGAACACCACCAGTTACGTGTATCCGCTGCAGATAATGATACAGATCCCAATGTTTGCCCGAAAAACTCCATACACAGCAGCCAGTCGTGTGTTGAGGAAGTTGTAACTCGATGAATACTCGGTCACATTTGGTGTGGCTATAGATGATATCTGGACCCCAAGAATACTGTAAGTCCTTCTCTTAGCACAGACAAGTCTAAAGACAATACTGGTTCTTCCCATTGAGAAAGAACTGCAATACTGGTAGCCCTTTTCACCGAGATAGTTGATTATCGATGGCAGTCGTTCATACCAAATCTTACATGAGAATGCAAGACTGTATTTCATAGTATTGCTTAAGCAATGCGACCATCATGTAATTTCAAATTGTAAGATTACAAACTTGGGTTAGAGTTCAAAACCAGGAGAATTAAATTTGTGGCAAACACACTTGTATATGCTGGATCCAATCTTCGCATAAAGAGAAGGAATAAATGAAATGAGCAATTGGAGGGCAGCAATGCGGGAGTCAGAAGCTTTTATCCAATGCCAGAAAGACAAGAACTCTGAGAGCACCAAGAAGCATGGAACAACCACATTACACAAGAGCAGGCATAACTCGCAGTAAGTTCCGTTTGAAGTGATATCATAGAAACCAATGTTTGGCCGAGGACTTGAATGAATGGATGTTTATTTTTGGTTGTCTATCAAAGTATTAATAATTTGCCAAGTGGATCAAATCGATGCAACCAATGTTATAACAAATGCCACGTTCCCCGTGGGCTCCATATGTGCTCCATCACCAGCATGATGACATGTAAAGCTTGAGGTTAGTGCTAGTCTTTCAAATGTGTAAAGGAATGGAGTTTCTTGGTGTATGGAGGTGAGCCGATGTCAATTCCAGTCTTTGTTGATACTTCGTAAGTTTTCAAAGCGGCGAAAGGCAAAGAAAAAGGATGCGTGGTCAAGAAGGCTGAGTCCACTAATTAGGAAGTTTAAAGCCTTAAGTTTTACCGTTCCGATTTAGCGCTTGTTAATTGGAACGGGCGTTTCGTAGCGAAGCCGATCATCTATCTACAAGTGACGATTTCGAAGTAATTATTCGCACTTGTCGATATACCAACTGCCAAAATCTGTGCATTGAGCGTGCGATTCTGGTCTTTTCATGATAGGCTCTTGCATGCAGTTTCTTTCACTTTAGCTGTGCTAAATATCATTCCTTGAGATCTACTGTCATCAGCGCGGACCGTTGCGCCTGTAAGGGGGGTTGATAACCAGGGTCGACTCAACTTCAAAATGGTATGGAACAACAAAGGCCTTCTTGCATCCTGCAAAAAGTTGGCATAATTAATAACATCTATTGGAACAGGGTATCAGCCGTCGTCCGAAGGGGAACAATAATGCCTCTGCCGCAGAGAGTGCCCCGTCGGGGAAGCCGAATATCCAGAAAGCCCAATTCGACACAACCAAGAAGAAGGAAGTTGGTGTGTCGGATCTTACTTTGATCAGTAAGGTCTCTAATGAAGCAATCAACGAGAATCTTAAGAAGAGATTCGATAACAGGGAAATCTATGTATGGCCTCTCTTCGCGACGAACGAACACGGGATTTGGGAGGGCTCCCGAGGAGGACGAGTACTAACAGTTTTACGTAGACATATATCGGGCATGTGCTTGTTTCCGTCAATCCTTTTCGAGATTGTGAGTGAAACATGACTTCTTCGAGTTCGCGCATCTAACGCTTCACAGTGGGAATATACACAGATGCAGTCTTGGATAGTTACAAAGGCAAGAATCGGCTGGAGGTCAGTAAACACCGAACCCACACATTGGATACCTGCGTTTCTAACAAATATCTAAGATGCCACCTCATGTCTTCGCCGTTGCCGAATCTGCCTACTATAATATGAATGGTTATAAAGACAATCAATGTGTTATCATTTCAGGAGAATCTGGAGCAGGAAAGACAGAGGCGGCAAAGCGAATCATGCAATACATAGCCAATGTTTCTGGAGGCAGTAACTCATCCATTCAGGAGATTAAGGACATGGTTTTGGCGACGAATCCATTGCTAGAATCTTTTGGTAATGCGAAAACATTACGAAACAACAATTCCTCTCGTTTTGGAAAATACCTCCAATTGCAGTTTAATGCGCAAGGAGAACCGGTGGGCGCGGATATAACAAATTACCTTCTCGAGAAGACGAGAGTAGTCACTCAGATCAAGGACGAGCGGAATTTCCACATCTTCTACCAATTTACAAAAGGGGCCTCGCAGACATACAGGGAGAATTATGGTATTCAGCAACCG